TGCCAAGGAAATCACTAGAGGCTGCACGTGGACACAGGGTAGTCTTCAGCCTTACTGCATTAGTTAAGAGCACCTTGTTTCTGTTTCTACTAGATTTTAGAACCTTATTTCAACTTACGAGTTTTGTGTACTCAGTAGAAATAGAGGAAAGCTCTCTGGGTGTCTGCAGGCCTGCGTACGGCAGGCAGCACAGAACAAATAGTCTTTACAGTCTGCAAATGCCTTTGCTCTTAATTTGGACAAACATACAGCCCTTAGAGAAGAGCACATTGGGACTTTCATATAAAACTCTTAATTAAATTGAATTGTGTAAAGCTTATTTATATAAATGAGAAAATTAAAACCTTTTGGTTCAAGAAGTACACAAAACTAAGTAAAACTAATGATTTATTGTTTGCAAATTAAAGCCATAAGTGTGCACACTACAATTGAGCTGTGATGTTTCTTTGTTCCAACACTTCTACGCTGCTGAAAGATGACAATTTATAATCTTTGAATGAATAAAGATTTGTCTTAGGTCTGGCTATTTATTGTATAATTAGCCCATCTATGAACAAAGCCACTGTTTGTTAATTCCAATATTCGTCAAGCATGTGTACCTCTCTGGGTCTTGCTCACGTGTCAGGAATGCTTATGCAAACTATTTGAGGTTAATATAAATTGTTTGTTTTCTTTATTTGTCACTAAATAATCATGGAAAAGTTTCAAACCAATGGTGTTTTTCCATACTTAAATCATTGAGCTGTGTAAATCAGGTCCTGGGGTTCCAGAGGAATATCAGTTCAGCTCTTTTTCAGCCTTTGGTTTGGCTCATGTTGGAACTTTTGTCTCCACAGTCACTTCTGTGCATTTTTTTGCTGGCACTAACTATTGCCACATAAATGACTAAATTGGTAATGTGTTTTTTTCAGACCCTTGCCTTTAATAATCTTTCTTCAGTGTAGGAGTAAGATTAATCCTGTAAGTGCAGAAAAGGGGGTCAGTAAACTTTAAAAATTTCCCTTAGATTATGGGTAGGCACCTGCACCTTCGATTTTGAGGGTAGAAAATGAGATTACAGTGTTCCAAGTCATGAAAGAAGTTGAAGAACAACAGTTTTCACTAAGATTCTGTTTTTCCTTAATTCAATGTGGAGTGGTTCAGTAGAGCTAGTCAGGATGGAGGGACAGGAATATATTCCAGCTTGAGAGTTGATGCAGATCACATTTCACTTGAAGGAGGACAGAGATTAAAGGTGCTACTGTTAATTTTAAGCAGCTCAAAGGTTGTGGGTTTTTTTTTGCTTGTTCCCAAATATTTATGGCAAACCTGATTTTACTGTAGGTAGAACTCTGGTTTTTAAAAAGTGACCTTGAGTACTTGCTGATGGAGTTTTTTGCATTTGTAAGCGTACACAGAAGTTGTACTTTCTGATTCCCACCTTAGGTATTTAATGAACACTAATTTTCTTTGTACTTTCTCACTCCTGGTGTAATTGTGCACATTTCTGGATGTTTGCCTATTTCTAGATTAAACAGACTCAGTTGCATTCTGATATTTGATATGTGCTTGTTCCAGATGTTGGTGTAAGAATAGCGAAAAGTTAGGAATTGGCATAGCTCAGACACAAAGCATGGGATCTATTATTTTGGGAAGGTACACCTGCAATTGCCAGTAAAATATCTCTGTGCAAGAAGGGACCACTTGCTCCTTGCCTAGGTGTGTGTGTGCCATTCCTGACTAGAGAAATTACAGGAGTGCTAGAAAAAGCACTACTTGCTACAAATCTTTTGAATAATTTGGATTTTTATTATTTGCTACTCTGCATTATAGTGAAATTCTGCGGAACTCGAAAAAACTGCGTTCCAGCCTAAGAATAGCTTCACTGGTGTGTAAGAGGCTGCCATAATTTCCAGCGTAAATTCAGATTTTCAAAAAATTAAGCTGAAAGATAAAAGATTAGTTTCAAGCTCAGATTCCAGGAAATGTCCCTCTGGGTTTAAATTAATCTCCTCGTGGAGCTCAAGACCAATGCGAGAGGTGTGTGTGACCCACAAACAGGAATCGGGTTTGTGTTTTCCGAACATGTTTATTCCTATAACTTTACGGCCACTTTTAACTTGAAAAACTGACCGTATGCATACCTGTAAGAAGCAGTGCAGCGATGGCAGATCTCCAGGAAGGATCACTTGTCTCGGAATCTCCCAGAACAGTGCATGCTCCCACGAGGGGCAGTGGGAGTAGAGCTTACGTTGCCCACGGTACGGCTGGGAGCATCCTTATGGGATCCCGCTATCCAAACCAGACTCTCTTTAAATGCCTGCTGTTGTGATAGGTGTGGTACATAAATGCTGTTTTATTAAATAACAAAATAAATTACTGCGGTTTGACCTCGGCTGAGGCTTTATCACTCTTGCCCCGCTGGTGAACTCTAAGGCAGAGCTTTTCCGTGGAATTCAGCATGTCGTCACGTTGTGGTAGAAAGAGTTAACGCTGCGCTCTGGAGCTGCGCCGAGACGTGCGTTATCGCAAGACCTGTGCAATGCTGTGCTTCCCCGGGAAAAGGCAGTACGGCGTGGGACCAGAACTCCTCTTAAATCTGAACGTCTTCTTCACTGTAAAGCCTCCTTGAATCCCCAGGGAAATGTAAGAGTATTACACGAGGGAGGAATAGGGTGACAAAGCAGGGTGGATGCTGCTCCCTGGGCTCAGTTTTTGCAGCTAGTCCCTGCAGAGCAGCTTCCCCAATCTTGACAGCTCTAGTAGTTTCCCCTGGGGTAGAAAGAACAAAAAAAAAAACCCAAACCAAAGAATTCGGAACAGTCCATAAAGTTTCTGTTGGTCTGAAAGCAAAAACATCTGCTGGAGTCATGAACAGTTTGTTAGCGGAGTTCAGTAACAGGAAAGCCTGCAGATGATCAGCTGTGCCCTCAGAAGCAGGCGTTGCTGCAGTCCGTGCAATTTATTGTAGGGGAGGCAGGAGAGATGGGGGAGATTAGGGCAACAGCTAAACGTGTCAAAATAATGGGTTTGTTTCATCGGCCTCAAATATAAACTTTGCTGGTAAAGAAGTGTGGGCATTATGGTTTCATACTGAGATACTCAGAGTGAGTCCGCGGTGTTTAATCCAGGACGGAATGTGTGTTTGCTTACTACGGGTTTGATAGGGGCCAGACAGGCGCATCCGTAAGTCATTGCATTAGGTCTGTCACGGTTGTAATGAAGCAGATGAATGGAGTTTCTATATTCTCTTGAAAACTGGTGAACACATAATGCTGAAACAACATCTGTGGTTGCTGAGGTGTGTATGTGCACAGACGTGCAGGCACAAATTGTATTGATTTCGGTGAATATGGCAGATGCGTAGTATCTCGGGGGGAAAACTTGACGCTTCGTAAGACTGTGTCCTAATGTATATAGCACTTTAAATAATTCTTCACAAAGTTAGGCCCTGCACTGAATTTGGTGTATTGCAGGTTTCAGAATAAGGACAGGCAGCGATGCAGAGGTGTTAGAAATGGCTCCGTAGCCGAGGTTGGGTTCAGATACCCCCTTACACAAGCGGGATGAAAATCCCTTTATTTCATACAGTGTACAGATTTATGAAAACCCTGTGCTGTTTATGTTATAGAGGCGCCGTTCTGTATTTATGGTTACAATTGTGTCTGCTTTGCCATTATAAACTCCTATTATTAGGGGTTTACAACACGGCTGTAAAGATTTGTAGTGGATGGGAACGTGACAAATAAAGGTCAACCCTGCAATAATACAGTTTTTTAAAATCAATTTTAAAAACTTTGAGTCATTTTTAGATTATGTGAATAGGAAAATATTGGTTCTAATTTTAGGATTGTCTGGTATCTTAATGCTATAGCATAAAACTCTCTTGTTTTACCAAAGTCAAAAACAACATTGTTGTAATTGCTTCTCTTAATTTGCTTTTGTGGTGTCTGCTCTTCCCTCAAAGTGTGGGTATGGTTTCTTGGTACTGAATCCAGGCCTCAAGGAGGTACAGGGCAATGAAAAACACCACCTGTCTTATTGTGTGAGGTGCTCACTTGCCTTTTGCTTTTTCTAAATTCTTTCAGCTTTCTCAGAAGTGAAGTTTTAGTTAGAGCAGTACAATGCTACTGCTGTAGAAAGTGAGGTGGCTAGATTGGAAGCTTTGCTAACATGTTTAAATGACCCAAGGACCAGAAATCATAAAATACTGATCTTTATGATAATGAGTCTCCGATTGTCTCTCTTTTTTGTTGTAGCATTTCAAGACTAAATGGTGATTTTCCCCAGCGTAGCATGTAGATATGGTAATCATTTTGAAAGAGGGTTTGGATGTCATGCAGTCTACAGAGCTGAAGAACTTGCATTTTTCTGTTGTAGTGAGTCCATATGAAGATGAATGAGAGAAGTGAATAGGGGAATAAAATTAACTTAGTTTTGCTCTGCAAATTGAAGTTATTTTTTTGTACCAGTCTTTTGAAAACAGTAGCGATTTCGGTATTTAAGCAGTTATAGTAATGTAAGATTTTCATGGTGCTGTCAAGAAAGGGTTTGCTGATGAGCACTGTGTACAGATCTGGTGCTGAGTCAAGTAAAAAATTTACCCAGCCTCATATCTCTGGTAGCAGTGACTGGAAGCAGGTGCTCCAGCATTGGGAGTTTGGAGGTTATGGGATTGGAGGTTTTCTCCGGACTGTTGTGCTTAATAGCCATCGATGAATTTGTCCCTCAGCTTGAACTAATACATCTTTCTAGATATCACTCATAGCTGAAAGAAGTGTTTTTCTTGTATGTCCAAAATTGTTATATAGTGTTACTACAGTGCAGTGCAGCAGTTTGAATACAGAATATCTGGTATTTTGCAGTCCAGTGAAATAATCTCAGCACTTTCTACTCTCCCAACATATTGTCAGAGATTTAGGAATATATATATGTGCGTTGGTGTACTGATAACTGACTGAAAAAGCTTTTTTAAAAGCATTCAACAGTAAATCTGACATCAGTTTTCTGGTTACTTTCAGTGGTTCCACCCGGGAGCCCTGGACCGATCACTCGACATGAGTCGTACGACAGCCTAGCGTCTGACCACAGCGGGCAAGAGGATGAAGAGTGGCTTTCACAGGTATGCATATGGTCATTTTTTGGGGGAGTGAAACAGGAAGAGTATCCACTGGAAGTAAAATTCACCACTTTCCTCGGAAGGGAAGGTAAGCTTCCAGCAGGCCATGGGTATCACTGTGTGTACGACTGACTTTACTCCTGACTTAACAAGGCATGAATTCGATGGTCTTTGTACAAACTACACAAGCTATGTTAAACCCCCTGTAAGGCCCCCGTCATTACTGGCACAAGTCACATCCTTGCCAAGTCCAGGATGAAGTAGAAAGTTTAAGTTGGCAGCAGAAAGTTGCCTCTCTGCCTTTTTCTCCTGACATGGTTCTTGTCAGACATGGATAAAGGAAGTTGGCTTAGCAAAATGATGCCTTTTCAGTTGTGACCTCTGCTATACTTACTGCATTTTAACAGAAAAATGTTAGATTAACTGGTTTACTCCCTTCTTTTTCTGGTTATCAGTTGCTGCATTTCCTACTGATAATTCCTTTGAGTTATGGCTAGATACAAATACTGTAGTGCTTTCAAATGATTCTGCTTGATGCAATATTTTTATATGAGGTTAAATCTTTCTAGTTTTATCCATTCTTCCTTACTTTTCGTCAGTGAATCTTTTCTTTAAGAACTCAGTACACGCTTGACTATTTGGCTCAAAACATAACTTCAGTTTAAGAATGTAGGTCATGAATAATACACTGAGAATTAGGTCCTGTTAGAAATAACAGGTTACAGTTAAATAAATGAAAAATTACAAATGCTGTGCAATTACAGGGTACCTGGTACGTAGAATTCATCCTGACAAATCAGGCGGGTTTCCTTTGACTTAAGAACAATGTTGTGATGGGAGCGATGCATTAAATGTGTTGCTGGGGTGTATGGCAGAAATAGGAAATATTCCTGGATGTGATTTGTTTCTCCCACTGGTGAATAAATCATACACAACATTTTCCTAATCTATTCATGTGAATCCACTTACCTGGCCTAAGTTTTCAGATGTGGCTGTACATTGATATATCTTACTTACTTATGCTGTTCCTAATTTGTTTAAAGCATAAAGAGGGTGAAACTACCTTACCAGTGTAGTCAACAGGAATTCTGTCACTGAGCTCATCGGGGCCAAGATGTCACCTATCCTCTCCAGAGCTGCTTGGATAGGTCTTTGCATCTTATTTTACTGTTCTGGTGACTTTCTGGTGTAGGAGGAAAAAGAGAGTAAGGTAACCCTACATTACAAGGGCTGGTTTATTACTAAACCTTAGAAGTTAGAAAATGTCAAAGGAACTTAAGACTGCTTGGACTTCATAACATCTATCCCTCTAGAAGAGTAAATATATTTATAAGGGTAAAAAAAAATCCCAAGTGATGTCACAGAACACAGAAAATTGAGGGAACACTTCCGGAATGTTTAATTTCTGCTAAGTGAAAAGAGAGGTGATAGCTCTTTTGAGCATGAAGATGCTAGCGTTCTCTAAGCAAGCCACTTTAGATTAAGCCTAAAGTGCAAGTATGTTTTTCAAAATTAAAGTGTTGTTATCAACAGTAACAGCATGCAGTGAAAAAACACTGCCCTTCACTTCAACTTTTCAATTAGAACAGTGGGTAATTTGTGCTGTCAGTGTGAAGTAGATACAATATGTTTGTCCTACACACAACAGGAGAGTGAATAGGAACATCTGGCCGTAGCCTCAGTAAAATTGCAAAGGCATCTGTTTACCTCTCGGCTCTGTGACACTGATGGTTTCAAGCTTAAAATATACAGATTACTTTATCTGTGGCCTAATTTACACTGCTACACGAAAGCTACTTGCCTCAGAAATGTCTACAGTCAAACTGAGTTAGGCAAAGATGGAAATAGTGTGAAATAGGCTGTGCATTGTCGTCTTACGTTAGCAGAGAGCTTGGAGCAGCATTATCCGTTGTTTAAATTTGCTTCTTAAAGGGTTAAGAATCGCTACTAGTATACAGCTGTCATACATAAACTAAAATATATGTTCATGGATTCCCTAAATTGCACTTTTGCTGTGAAGTTGATCATTGTTTTAGCAGAAATGGATAGGAATTTAATAGTTTATTTTTGTCATCTTAACAGTAAGGGTGCACTAGCACTTAGTATTTTCATTTCAAATTTCTTTTATTTTTAAAATTGTATTACAGAAGACTTATGCTCTGTTTACCTTTTCATTTACAAGGCCAAATTTTCCTGATCGTATGTTTCCAACAACATTACCATCTTAAATTTCCATGGTTGTTTGCATTCCTATAGTTGGGTTATTTAAGTGTGTGCCACAATTGATACTCATCATGTTTATAGTTATCAGCACGAAAAGACATTTTTAAAGTATTTTGGATGCTTCATTTACTGAAATAACTTACTTTTCAGAAGTTCATGTCTAGGCTCTCACTGGGAGCTTATACCTAGAAAAAAATCTGAATATTTGAAGTTGTTTTAGACACACCAACTGTATTCTCTGTGCCTTTTGGCAGTAAGCATGGAACTGTGAAGCTTCTGTGGCTGTGTGTATCTACACATAAAGATACATACAGCTACATCTCTCATATACACGTATCATATCACACACACATCGTTCATTGCAAGCAAATGCCCTTACATTTGATTTAATTGTTGGAATTTTGGTTAAATTAATATCCGTGTCTCGCTGTCCCTCCCAAGTCCATGTGTTGCACATGCATGTTTATATTACATCTGCAGGGCACTGACCGTGAGCTGGGCTGTTCAGCGTCTCGCAGCGTGCTTCACATTGCTCTCTGGTACAAATCTTGTTGCTTCCCAGCAAGATGGTCTCTGCCAGCCATCTCCTCAGACATGCCAACAGTAATTATGAGCCTGATTTGAAATACAGTTCACACCCCATACATGTGAAGCAGCACTGTTTAACGTGTGAACTTTTAGAAAGCAGCCGTAACAAAGCTGTAACAGCTTGCTTGTAAAAAGTGCATCCCTTGCCCTGGTCAGGATTGAGGTTATCCATGGGAGGTAGACGTTCGGTTCCTCTTGCCTACTCCATGTAGATGCAGTCGGAAATGTGTTCCTGTTTGTTACACCACGGGGTAGGTTTTTAATGTCCGAATTATAGTGTGTGTTCCATTATGGCAAGGGGAGGAATGAAACAGAATCAGGTGAAGTGGATGCCCCATCCCTGGAAGTGTCCAAGGCCAGGCTGGATGAGGCTTGGAGCAACCTGGTCTAGTGGAAAGTGTCCCTGCCCATGGCAGGGGGTTGGAACTAGATGGGCTTTAAGATCCCTTCCAACCCAAACTGTTCTGTGATTCTATGATGTGATAGCCAGGGTGGAGCATTGGTCTCCAGTTTAAGAACCGGGGTGCAGTGTCCTCAAGCTGGTGATTCAGGGGCTTTCAAGAAGCTCTTGGCTTTGGCTTAGAGCATCACCCTCTAGCCAAAGACATTCTGAATTTTCCCTTGTTCAGCATTCCTCCAAACTGATGGTACAAAACACTCTCTTAGCCTGAGAACAGCAGGATTCTGGGTGTTCAGTGTATTGAAGGAACCATTCAGTACATCACAGTTTAAGCATTTCCCTGTCTTCCTACAGGTCGAAATAGTGACTCACACTGGGCCTCATCGACGCCTATGGATGGGCCCACAGTTCCAGTTCAAAACCATCCACCCCTCCGGCCAAACTACAGTCATTTCATCCAGTTCTTCAGTGCTGCAGTCGCATGGTCCAAGCGATACCCCACAGCCTCTTCTGGACTTCGATACAGATGATCTTGATCTCAACAGTCTCAGGTAAAAATAAAATCAATTCCCAAGCTATTTCACATTTGTGGTGTGAATAACTTGCCTCATGCTTAAATGAGGCCACCTCTGTAGAATGTGTGAAAGTTTTCATCAAGCTTGTCCAGATGAAAGTCTTGGAAGAGCATGTGACTTGACAACAGTAAAGATTCATCCAGGCCAAGCAGCTTAGGTTCCTTTCTGCTGCCCCTTCTGGGTAAATGACAGTGAAAGACGGTACAAAGTCCGGTGGCCTTGCTCAGCATCATCTTGGCTTTCACGGTCTCTGCGTTGCTTAATAAATACGTTTTCTCAGGCATGAGTGGGGGCTTTATGCCATAGATTTAGATTCTGACCGTGAAACTGTGTGTTGGAACAGTAAGTGAACTTCTGGAATGTTTTTCCCTTCCCAGGGTTGTGGTTTTTTTTTTTCTTTTCCTCCTTCCTTTGCTTCCTTCCTTGCCATTCTTTTTCATGTATTTGATACTTTTGGACATTGGCTGATTTGGAACTGGGGGCAGGGAGTGGACCAAAGGAAGGAAGGAGAGCAAAGGTAAATGTGGGTTTCTATTTACTGGTAGCCAGTGTTTTTGTAGAAGGGCTTTATGCACCATGTGTTTCTGTGTCCTGTCTCGAGATTTAATGAGTTTCCATGCTTCTGACTCTGCATGTGATTTGAAGTCCAAAGTTCTGTGGTATGGACTTGGACTGTTTAGGACTCTGAAATGCTTATGAGTAAAACAAGAGAGATGGATAATATGACTAATCCCATTAAAACTGAGCAGATTGTCCTTGGACTGAAAATACATGGTTTTGAAATGTGTGATTTCTCCTTGCATGTAATTACTCACACAAGCAAGGCTATAGCTGTCAAATATATTACTTTTTGGTGTATATATGTATACACAGGCAGGAAGGAAGCAGAAATTTTTAAAAAGTTAATATAGATCTGTGTCACAAAATGAATAGACAATTACAAATGTGTTTTTCTCCTAAACTGACAAAGAAAGTGCTGCTGTTCAGGAGGGCGATAGAAGCATTTTAACCAGTTTGGGCAGCGTGAGCTTTTTCCTTTGAGGCTTTCTGAGAGCTCAGGTCTGAGGCATAGTTTGGCGACACTCACTTTGTGTTGAGTTTTAATCTGTCTCTGGATGGATTATCCAGCTCTTGGCTCCACAAAGCAAAGGAAAACAAAAGTGTTCAGTAGTTGGTTGATTTAAAAACAAATAGTTGCTTAGTTGGTTCAGGTGATTTGGGTTTGTGGTTTAATCACAACCCTCATGAGCTGGTGCTAACTTTAACTTATTGTTTAGGATTCAGCCTGTTCGTTCAGAACCTGTTAGCATGCCGGGGTCATCACGTCCAGTTGCTGATCGCAGAGGAGTTTCAACAGTGATTGATGCTACCTCAGGTAGAAACATGTTGATTTCCTGTTTTCTTCGATATCATGGCATTCATCAATCTTGTCTATTTCTGTCTGTTAACATGTTTACTAACCATTGCCATATACTTAAAAGGATATCATGATTTTCAGCTGCACAGTAGGGTAAGTGCTGACTTATACAAATACTTCCTGAAAGCTGCTATAATTATGACCTTTTTTCCTTTTACCACTCAAATCTGAAGTCACAGCGTTGTCATAAGACAGGAGCACAATATTTACGTTAAGTTTAACATGAGCTACAGAATGCTAAAAGCTGCCTAAACTAAAAAGCAGAACATTTGCAAATACTAATGCTGAAGTGCTTTTATTAATGAATGCCTAAAGCACAGAATATTACAGTTCCATCTCATTTGTAAAATAGCTTTCATTGAAGGGTAATCATAAACATAATTGATTTTTGTGAACAGTCAAGACAACAGGATAGTTTATCTAATGTTTGTGTAATAGGCACATTTTCACTACTCTGCTCTAAAAGAGCGTGTAAATTTAATGCTACAGTGGTTATGTTAATATCAACATAGTAATATAGGTACTATAAAGTTTTCTTTTTTTCCCAGTGGTGGGGTGTATTCTGTATAAAGAAACAAGGGCAGCAGAGCTTTACGTTCTAGTACAGCTGTATAGCGTCTGAAGGGTCCACACAGCAGGATTTTGTCAAATAAAATCTCTCACAAGTAGAGTTATTAAACACACAGCATTAGTCAAACAGTCAAGTCAGAGAGGATTTTAATCTTTAGCAATTTGAAAATCCCCAGAGACTGCTGATTGGATTGAGGTTAAACTGTAAAAAGAGACAGTAACACGTGCAGAAACTTGGTTTCTGAAGGTTGTTTTAAAGAGAGTTAAAATAAAAGCTCCTGTTCCAGACTCTGTTTGCTATTGACATAAATTCTGAGTCCAAGATACTGCATTTTTTGCCAAATTAATTTATTTGGGTATTACAGGATATTTCTGAGATATGTTTTTAACTGAGTTCAATAGCAGCTACATTAACTTTGTCGTCATAAATTCCTTTTTCAGATCTTTAAAACTGGTTAAATTAATTCATGTTGAGCTTAGACAAGCATCTGATGCTGGTTATTTAAAGGGAATTTTACTTGTTCTGCTACATGACAAAATAATTGTTTGATACAGAAGAAAACTTAAATACATCAGTTAGGATTTTTTGGAGTAGTTCTTCTATGCCTATTACCCCGGAAGGGTTACAAGCCTGAATCGTAGGAGTGCTTCTGCCTGTGCGTCTGACACGTCAGATTCGGAGCGATGAATGGCATAGCTGTTCTTCACTATCGAAGGGACTATGCCAGCTGAGAGAGATCTGGGTTATCAGGTGGGGGTTTTTCCCCTCTTGATTATAAACAGAGCAGCTCTATTACCTATAGCAGGGATGTATATTAATTCTGAAATACAACCATTCTGTAACCATAAGGCATTCAAAAACTGTGCTATTCCATCTACAATACAACAAACCACATAAGACTGTACCTCTTCTGTGCTAAACCACCTTTCCTGTAGTGTGGATGGGGCCTTAATATGAAACGGCTCATGTGAATGTGATGAAGCTCTGTCGGTAATGCCTTTAGCATGTGTGTCCATATTAAAATTGCCAAAGTCAATTGTGTGCATTGTTATGACACTGAAAATATATTTACTGTACAGCAGTGATTCAGTTTGGTTATAACACCTCATAAGTTTCTGATAAACAATACATGGATTTTGTTAGGGACATGCTGATAGCAGCATTTTATTTAACTTCACTGCCAGAGAGTTTGGATTTGAATTTATTTTTTATTTGGGGACTTTACCATCTATTTGCAGTTCTCATGTTGCCTGATCCTCGTCCTTTCCCATACAGAAATTACTGGTCCAAATTTAGGGTAGATATGCCAGGTTATATATGATGGTAGAGAGGTGTGAATTCTGCTACAGTGGAAAGGGGACAAAAGGAAAAAACATGCAGGTTTTTGAGACCTCATGATATTCTTGTGACAGAGCCCAGCAAAGGGCAGAAGAGTATTTTATGCTTACTTTCTTTTCTTCTCACTTTTGAGATGTGCCCAAAATTGCATTAAGATTAGCTCTGAATCTAAAGATTTTATTTTAAATGCCGTTCATGTACATTTTTTGTGTTATAGTCCGCTACTGCAAGTATTCTCATTTCCTGCTATTACCAAAGCAGGCCCTAAATGGCTTACATTCCTTATGGAAAACAAATTTATTTGAAAATAGGTTTTTAAGTTTGAAGGATTTTTTAAGTAGGTCATAAACTTTTACTACCTAAGCTGAACCAGGAAGTGATTCTTCAGTGAGGACCCATGCATTGGAGTCTGTTGCACTTTATGAAGATGCTTATCTGGCTGTTTGATTGCCTGTTGCTTAGAGATACCACCAGCGTGGCGCCTCTTCTTATCTAACTCCATCACTTGTTCTTCCTATCAGAAGATTTCAAGTACATGTTTATCGTCTTCCATTATTCTTCTCCCATTCTTGATAGCCGCCTTCTTTCTCCCTCGCTGGTGACAACTCTGTTGCTGCATTTAGTAAGAAATCTGGGTAATTTTTAATAATGATTTCCACAAGTCTGTAAAACTGTGGTATGCTAACGACAATATTGTCTCACAAGGGTATTTGAAAAAATCTTAGTTTAAAAAGTATGAAACTCTAATACACGGTAATCACTCGTGAAAATTTCCAATGGCATTTTCAAGGTGAGTATTTGTAAAGATTACTTGGCTAAAGCAAAAAAATGTGTATTTCAGTATGGTTATCTCAACTAAAAGTTCTGCTAAGATATTCTTCTTTGATATTTTGTGGTGTTTTTTTTTAAACTGAATCTTTAAGAAAAGTTTGCAAAAATATAGTCACCTAAAGCTACTGGACATTCGTCCCTCAGTGCACACATTTTAGTCATACGCATCATAGAGAGAATATACCCTCAGGCACTGTAATTCCAGATGCTATTCCAGATTGGCAGTTGGAAATGTTAAAGGGGCAACACTGAGTTTAAAGCTTTATAAAGCAGGAAGTCTTTAATAATAGTGCAGCAAAAGAAACGCTCGTGTCCACAGAGTACGTGCACACTGTGTGTAGCAAGCAGGCGTGTGTGCTCGCCTGTCTGTGCGCCCATCCTTTCCAAAGAAGTGCTGAGGCTATCGGCTGGTTGCGTTGGGTTTAACAAAGGTGGGGTAAGTCTCAGTAAGTCAGAGTAAGTTTGAGACTTTATTAGACACCGGCGATGGGAGAGAAACCTTCGAAGTGCCCTGTCTGCAGGAGATGCTGCAGCTGAAGGTCACACTCTTTACACAACGAGAACAACCAAACCTGAGACAGAAATCTGTGGCGCAGTTAAAAAAAGTAGTTCTTGCAGAAATGAGCTGGCTGTGTTTCAGCAGACCACGCTGCAGGCATGATTTGAAATCTTTACATTACCTGTATACATGGAATGCTGTTCCTTTCTTTGACATGGCTACCTTTAGATAGGGGTTTTGGCTCTCGGAGATCTACAGCATGATGGAGACTTATCTAGAAAGTACAAGCCTAGGCTACACATGTAGTGGAATATTTGCAGGCACCTTTCTGAATTGTTACGCTATAACCTGTGGATGACTGATGCATGTCATGTGTGTTACATACCCGACAATCAAACTGGATAGAACTCTACTACTAATAAATAATGCAGAAGTTAAAGGGTGTAGGAAGGTTAAGGTATCTGTATGGAACAATAACTCTGAACTTTCAGAAATAGAGAAACCTCTAGAGAAAGGATTTTGCAGCAGTTCCTGATCACAGCAGAGTTGGCTGCACAGCTGCCTCGAGTCTGTCAGGGCCAGCGTTTCCCTCGCTCTGTAACAAAGGTGTTGAAGGGCTCAGGTACTCAGGTACGCTCAGTCGTAGCTGTTAATTCAATCCTGCTCAGTTAAAAAAGGGTGTGCGTCCGTGTGTTTATGAAAAGCCTTGCTCATTGCCTCATGCAAAGAGGGTTTTGACACTTGTCCATCAGCCAGATCGTGATTTTGTTGCGTTGTCAGCAGGGTAGGAAAGTGTTGGCAAGGAAGTTGCCTGATCTCTGTTTCGCATCAGCCTTTCCCTTCCCAACTTGGAGATCTCCATTTCTTTCTTGCTTAGGACAAAGACAGAAGTTGGAGTGGGAAGGATTTTAATGAGTAAAATGAAATTGTGGAAGAAATAGATCCTGAGCATTTATTTTCTCTTTGATTGTGGAGCAGGGGGAACCCTTATGCTCATTTCTAAAGCCTGGCATGTGCTGTGCTTCTTAGGGATGCGCGCATCATTTTTTGATGAAGATTGTTTATTACTCTTGTATGAAACTGACAGCACTGAGCTCTCTTCTGGTTACTTCAGTCAATGCCCACTTAAAATTGGCTTGTAATTTAGTGCTTCCCTTTCTTTTGTGTGCGACTGGCAGGTCATGGACGGATAGCTTCTTGCCTGCACAGGGTTTAATGAGCAGAGGAATTGCCTTGGGTTTTGTAGGGGAGGGAGGTTGCCTCCCCTCCCTCCCCTCTGCCCCGAAGGATCTCTCCTTGTTCATCACCACACCTGTGAGATAGGGACCATGGGACAAATTTTTACTATCCAGCAATGCTCTCACTTGGAATTTAATAAACACTTCTGCTGTCACACCTTAAACCATCTGAGCTCTTTTCTGTTGTATGTGCAATCAAATATTTATTCCCAAATGCTGTACACCAGAAAGTGCTGCCTTGGAGTAGCGGAGATCAGTTATTCAGGTAGTAAAGATGTGTGAATGCAGCTGGCAGATGAAGTCACCAACATTATGAATTCCCAGGCTGTCCTTACTGCCACAGGCAATAACTGACAGGCCTGAGCGGTCGCTGGTTTCCCGTTACGGGCGCTGGTAGGGCCTGGGGAGTCCTGGCGTCACGGATACTTGAGCTGCCCTGCTTGAGTGGAGCTGGCCAGCGCTGGAGGGTCCTTGTTGCAGAGAGATCTAATCAATATGGTCTGGAGTCCTTGACCTGAACCTGTAATTACCTGGATGATATAAAGGTAGTTTGTTGTTGCAGATAGAGATTGCACTCAGATCCTCCGAATATAATGCTGAGCTTTAAAGCCAGGGAAGAGATTTGGCCTTTGGTCTATTCTTCACAGCAACTGAGGGGTTTTAATAATGGTCATAAAACAAGCCGTTCTTAGAGGGCATCACTTGTTTAGTAACAGCAAAACCATGTACCCAGCACGGCTTGTTTTGTCATTTGAATGAGTTTAAGTTGTGGTCTTTCCTGGAATAACTTCTGAGCGAATTCTGTTCATATGATATTTACTTTAAACACTTACTGTATCACCTGTTTGAAAAGCCTTTTATGTATTATTCCTAGAATAGTGATGGAGTGTGGGGTATACTCAGGGTCTTTTTGTTTTCTCAGTAGCACCCACTTGCTTGTGCACATACTCTCTCCACCCTGTTCATCTCTCTTGCTAGATGTGTGTGCGTACGTGAGCTGCATAATACAAAATTCTCATACTTAGAATTTTTTCAACTTGATTTATTTCATCTAATTTGAGAAAATGTTATCTGATGATTTTTGAAGAGAGCCTTAAGACAGAACTGACTTCAACAGGCTCCAAGATGCCAATGCAGTATACATGATTACATCTAGAAACAGCTATGCCCTATAGACTGTGGGGATGTGAAGAGAAATTAAAATGACCTGACACTAGTGACTGGGCACTTGCTGCTGGATCATTGCCTGGCTTGGGAAAAGACTCAGCTGCAGGGATACATGGAGTAGCATTAATGTCTTGAATCACTGGTGGGTGTTTTCTGTAGGCAGGCGAAGTATACTGGAGAGGAAGGGCATGGGAACAGTGACTGAAAGGCAGCAGAATCGTTACATACTGATTAATTTTTGCCTCCCCGTGATGGGTGCGGGTGGGTTGGTCTGTTAGTTCTTGAGATGGGAACTCAGGCTGCTCAGCATGATGTTGTGATGTGGAGTAACTGCTACCCTGCTAGTGACGCAGGAGACTCTTATTCCTCATCCCA